TTTTGCAAGTTATATATATATATAATATTGTGATTTAATAGAATAATTCACCAATGTACCATGAACTAAATATCGTTAGATCAATTAAAAATTATATGAATGGATCAGATTAAATAATTGTTTTTTTATATACATTATATTAAAATTAATCTATTAAAGTGAATGTCCTTTTTGCTCTTTGTGTATCTTAAGCAAAACACCACCGTCGCACAACTCCTTTAGCCAAATCGTCATATTCATTTGTCTTTAGCATTTGAAACCATGTTTGGTGGAAAGAAGAACAAAAAGAAAAGGGAGGAGCATGAAATATTCCTGTGGCCTCAAGTTCCTATTTTATTGTGAATCTAAATGTTGTGTTTTGAGATTTGAATTTTTAATTTCATCATAGAATGCTTTAGAACTAAACTAGTTGATGAAAAGCTTCTCTTAGCATGGTAACACCATGCACGAAACCTCGTGGGAAAACGAAATCTGGTCTGGCAAAAACATTTGTCTTTCTTTTCTTAACAATGGCAGAGATTAGGATTCCGACAAAAATGGTGACAAAGGTGAGAGAGTAAGAAATGGTGGGTTGGAAGAAAGATGAAAACAAACAGGTGAAGGAAGAGAGAGAGGGGAAGAGATGAGGGTGGGTATAAAGGTCATTACTTATTTTTTAAAATTTTTAATAAAAAATAAAAATATAATTCAAAATCAGATAATAAAAAAAACAAATTTCTTCTAATTATTCACCTATAAACCACTTGATACACGTCTTTACCGTAGAAAATGCCTAATTGATTAGGCCATAGTTCAATCAATTATAATATATATTTTCTGAAAATTAAAGTTGAGGCACAATTAAAGCATCAATAATAAGGTTGTCAAATAACACCAACACATTTTTGGATTAAGACAAACCAAGCCACTTTGACATTAGGCTAAAATTTTCAAGTTTAACCTGGCTCGTAGCAAGTTGCTACAAGACAAATAAGCCAATTTATATACCAATAATTTTTTTAAAATGGAAAAATAAAAATTATTAAAATAAATTATTTCTTTTGTAATAAGTTAATGAGTGGAACAATTTTAATCACTGTAAATTAAAATAAGAAAATATAGGTTTCTGTTTGTACCATAAAATACAGTAATACAATACATAAAATACAAATAAAATAAAGAGTATTGAATTTAGCATTTATCATCTTACTAATTATTAAAAAAAAACTTAATATGGATAAAATATTAACCCTAAAATAGTCACTAATAACAATATATATAGTATTGAATTTAGCATTTATCATCTTACTAATTATAAAAAAAATAGTTACTACCCAATTCAACTCATAATGAGTCAAATTATTTCGATAAATTTTAGACAAAATCAAATGACATGAAATATTTTGTTTTCACAAACCAATTCAATTTATTTACATATATGTGATGAAATCTATTTTAACAATAATATATTATATAATAGTAAATTTACCTTTATTTCAATTTGTTTTCTCTTCTATTTAAATTGAGCAAATTTTGATTTTATTTTTATTTTTCTCTTGAATCAAATAATTTAAATACCATTTTATTTTTCAAACATTTATTCAACCAAACAAATGTTAGTGTCCTTTTTTATGTTGGATTCAACCAAACTTAGGTGGGAGCAAGGTTGAAATGTTGATTAGAAAATAAAACTTTTAGCGTGCATCCACTATGTAACACATGTAAAACAACTACATGCATTATTATATAATAAGATTAGTCTATAATGGAAAAGATACAATTTAAAAGTTAATGTAATTAAGTTGATAAGAAAAAATAAACTCTTAAAATTTGAATAACTATAATTTAATTCTTTTACACAAGTCACACATCAAACAGAATCCCAAGGAAATGCAAAAAAATAAAATCCACATATCATGAAAATGAAAGCGACTCAATTCCCCATTCATCTCTCAGATTATCTTTCAGCTGTAGAAGCTCCTTATCAGGCAGAGAAACCGTGACCATTCTTCCACCAGTGAAACCCTCCGGCGCCGGAAGCACCAAAACGACACCGTCATCACCCACCCCATGGATGCAACAATTCGCCAACACCGGTTTGTGTCCATTCAGCACCACCCCATACACGTCACCACCATTCTCCAAATCCACCAACGTCAAATTCGCTCCGTACACCACAAAATCCCCTTTCCCTCCGCTCTCTTCCACCAACTTTGCCACGTCATCAACCCTCCTCTCCGCCCCAATCACCCTCGCCAAATCCGCCACGTCGGATGTCGCAACCACGAAGCTCGCTTCCACCGCGCTCACCTCCAATCCCTCGCCGCCACGTGTAAAAATCGTCACGGCCCTGGGCTCGGACTCTCCCCTGATGCGGGCCACGTGTTTCCACACCAGCGCGGAGAGGGTTCCGAAGTACGAGGTTTCCGCGGCGTCGTTTTGGTGACACGTGGATGTTGTTACTAAACGGTTGAGTTGTTTGGAAGTGACGTGGAACGAGTGGGTGGCGATTTTGGCGTGGTTTGTGGGGAGCCAGAATTCCCCTGCGGTCGTGGTCATTTTAACGGAAATGGGATCATTGTTGTGTGGTGGGGATTGGGTTTGTTTATGAATTGGCGTGGGAAGGGGTTTCGGTTTTGGTGGCGCGTGAGTGTGAGTGTGAGTGTGAGTGTGAGTTTGACCTGCGAGTATTTGACTCCACTTGGTGATGAAGTCGAAGGCTGAAAATGCGTCTCCCAGGATATGGGACCAGCTGAGTCCCACACACAACCCTCCACATTTAAACCAAGTGAACTATACAAAACATAATACCCCAAGATAAAGCACTAATTAGTTGCATATACCATGATACATAGGGAAATAGTGTTATTAATTTTTTTTCATAAGTTAAAATTTGTCACACAAAACTGATTATTTCCAAATTTAATTATTTCCAATAAACCTTACTATTGATTTAACAATTAATAGAATTTACCTAAATTCTTTCTTCAATTCTTTCTTTCTCTATATAGGAGTAGGCGATAATGCGGTTCATTGATTTCATAGATCTTTCGTGGAGATTGATGGCGATATACAAGCTACTATTAATTAACCGGAACAGTTTAACGAGGTTAGGAATTCTTTTTGTCATCGTCGTCTTTTGCCATTAATGATCAGAGCCATAAAAGGTGTAGGACATGCAAACCAGGTCCATCAAAACCACAAGGCATTACGATAGACACTTTGTATCGTACACAACTAACACATGCCTAAATTTAAGGAATAAAACCGACGTTAGTGTCAGTTATCTTAATATGTGGAGGCATTTAGTTAGGCACCTTATATGGAAATCCACCAAAGAGGAAAGTAGTTAACCCGTGAATCAAACCACAAAAGGTGAAAAGAAAAAAAAATGGTCACAACCCAAAACAAGGGAAAGAAAAAATAAAAAGTGACAAACCACAAAAAGGGTCTCAGAGACATGCCCAACCAAGATCAATAATTATAAAGCAATAAAATTGTGAGATGGATGAAAGAGATGGATATTATTTTATAAAAATAAAAAAAAAATTATAAAATAAAATTGAGATCGAAAAGAGATTTAGAAAAAAAGCAAAATGGGTGAAATATATTGCAAATAGTCTTTTTACTCAATAAAAAATAAAAAATATTGGTTTGTAAAATGAGAATAGATTTAACAAGAGTTACCTTGACAACAGCCAAAGGAGAGAAGCCAAGGTCAGGTCCACCAAGGACGTGATCGTGTACAAGGCCTTCGAGGGAGCACCCGTGTTGTTGGAACCATTCCTGAAGGGTGCGGTCGCGGCGTGACTCAGCGATGCGCACGCCAGCGTCGTTGCACTTTACGAATGCTCGACCCGATTCGGAAATCCTGACCCGACCCGATATCGCTCGCGTGGCCTGGTCCAGGAGGAGGAACATGGGCTTCTTGAGGTCCGCCATGGAGAGGCCTTGGGCCGCGTCGCTGGTGAAGAAATAAACGGCTCTGATGTAGTGGAGCTTCATGAGGAGGTCCATGGAGCTGAGCTGGCACACGCCGTTTTCGTCGCTTTGATGGGTCGCAGGCACCACCGTTGAGATCATCGAAAGGCTTTCTTCTTCCATCTTCTTCTTCTTCAATGGTTAATTAAGTTAAGGACGAAGAAAATAACTCGATTCTGCATGCACTTATGGAGATGCACTATAGAGTTAACATGATCTTTTTGAGATTGATTTTTGGACCGACAAAATAATGTTGGATAAGTGAAAATCAATTATTAGTTGTCAAATTTAAAATATTGTACAATGATATAAATGAAAAAAAAAAATAGAGTGGAAAGGATGGAGAGACATATCATGCATATGGCGTTATTGGAATAGACTTTAGAGTCAATGGTGAGTTAATTAGAGTGATGATATTGGGTGATTAATTAATGAACCCATAACTATACTTAATTAAGTTTTTAACTTTATTTCTAATTTTTTAATGTTATTATACTATACTTGATTTATAAGAAAGTTTATCTAATTTATACATTAATTATGAAAATTAATTAACTTCATTTAGTTTTATTAATTTCAATTCAAAATATTTAGTTTTGTTGATAAGGTTAATTAACTAAATTGGTTTGGTATGGAATTCCCGGTATTTTTGGCCTGCTCCTATAGTGGCTACTCACCTTGTTGGACTTTTGGTTTAGTTTGTAAAGGTGCATGTTATCATTCACACTTGTTTACTTCTACTTTATACATGGTTCGCGTTTTATATTATAATAATTACTTTGGTTGTTTTTATCTTTTTTTATATGGTTACTAGATGATAAATATTACAATTCGGTGATTATCTTTGGTATTGATTATGGTGGATTTTGTTTATGTGATTTTATATTTCATAATGAGTTGAGGTACCTTTTATACTCCGCTTAATTTAATTTTTTTTTATAAAATACTTTTTTGTTACTTTTAAGAAAAATAATTAACTTCATTTAGTTTTGTTAATTTAAATTCAAAGATTTTTTTTTACTATTATTCATTCAAATTTGATATTAAACAGAAAAGCTTACTATGAATAGAATTTTGAATTAAATGAAGACTATTTTAAAAATAATATCATTAAATATAGTAAAAAAAATAGTTAAGATTTATTTATATTTAAGTTTAAATAGAATGTAAGAAATAAATACTTGATTTTTTTAATATAAATGAAAGTAATTAATTTTTTAATTAATAATTTCATAATTTCACATTTTATTTTAAAAATATTCAAAATTAAATGCTGTAAATATTAAGTGACATTACTCGTAAATCTAAGAATAATTTTTCAACTAATGTGTAGTAATCCAATAAATATATTCACTTTCATTGAAAAGGATTTGTAAATGACTTATCATTAGACTCATACTTCCTCTAAACTTATAAATTCAGAGTATAAAATTATCAATCAACATATCATTAAGCCAACTTAGAATAATCTTTATATATATATATATATATATATATATATAACTGTGATAAT